CACATATATAAATGTGTATATACACATATATATATATATATATATATATATATATATATATATATATATATATATATATATATATATAGATAGAAGATAGATAGATAGATAGATAGATAGATAGATAGATAGATAGATAGAGAGATAGATAGATAGATAGATAGATATAGATAGATAGATAGATAGATAGATAGATAGAGATAGATAGATAGATAGAGAGAGAGAGAGAGAGAGAGATGCATAGTTACACAGACTTAAAATAATGCGCAGTAACGCACGATATTACTGAATGTACATCTACAAATCATGTCTCATCGCCCTGAGAAAAGACCAACCCCTTCGGCGTTGAGGACTTTTGGTGTCTCCAAGTGGTAGTCCATGACGTCCCACGCGTCCCAGTACAGAGGCTCGTCATCATAGAGCACCAGCTGGTTCCCCAACAGCTGCGTGCCGTCCGCCTTGAGGAAGACGTCTCTGTCATCTCCAGCCACGAGGAGGCTGACGACTTGCCCCCAGGGGTTGACTGTGGCCTTGAGCATTTCATTCTCCAGCGTGAAGAACCCATTTGCTTCAGCTGGAACGTTTTGTGAGATTTATTCGTGCACTAAGGGAATTCGTACAGCCTACACCTGTGACTCTACATATTGTGACTACACATTGTTATTACTGCTTACAAATCTGCTACGCCTTAGATGAAAAGGTATGAAACAGGCTTTCAATGACATGCCATCTTTAGCCTAAGATCAACATACTAATAGTGACATCTCGCGATGGGGTGCTGGCCAGGACGGGACTGGATCCCATGGGAGGCGCATCAACCAGGGCGTACTGCTCCCCTGCCTCTGTGCGCTGCACAACACCCAGCAGGTCTTTCCCTGAATATTCCCCCGGTATTTTGACCACCTCCTTGCGAGGCCACTGCAGGCTGTTCATCACCACCTGCTCGGTAGAGCTGCTTGTTCCTGTAAACGGATATCGCTAATTTACCATATATATAAGAGGGGTGCGTCCTCAGTAAGCTTCGTTAGATTTGTATGATCACTTTGGAATGCAAACCCCGTTGACTGATAAAAAAAAAAAAACGCAAAACTTTTACAGATGGCATCGCCAGCCTTGGTCCAGACAGAGAGTGCAGTGTCAATGGCCTCTTGGTAATACTTTTAATGCTTTGATGAGCCAGCTACATCGTGAAAACTACAGTAACACCTTCTTCCAAGCAGTATCTAATTCTATCCTGTTGCTGCCTGCATCATCCATGCTGCAGAAAATGCTACTGATAAAACTTAAATTTCAATAACCTGATCAAGCAAAGGAAACTTACTCGCTGAGAAGCTGATCGGCTGCGCTGCCCAGCTGGCCCACTCCCACTGACAAGAGGAACTCTGCATCGCGAAGGCGAAACTCCGCTTCCCGGCAAAGTCTTTTCATGGCCGCCTGCGTAGTGTAGGTGCCGTTGTGGAGTTCCAAGTACAGCTCACCTACCCATCGGCAGAAGTTGTGCTGCCTCTCTCCAAAATAAATCGTCCGGAGTGCTCATCTGCATCCTGTCGGTTAAGTGTGGATGATGAAATTAGGATTAACTTGGTTGTGAGAATATTTCTTATTGACAGTAGTAGTATGAGCAACAGTCTGTAAATATATATTTCTTGAAGATTAAACCCATCTCCTGCCCTCACTTTGGACAGCCATCGGTGTCCTGGAGGCGATGGCGTCTCTCAAGCATCTCCTGAGTGGGTCCACCACCCCCGTCGCCGTAGCCAAAGAGGAAGGCGGAAATCCCGGCCCTGCCCTTGTCTTGTAGGTTGTTCACCGTCCGCAGGGCCTCTTCGACCCTGATCAGGAGACGGGATATTTGAGCTCCTTATGCAAGACAAATTTAAGCTTCAAAAAGTAATCATCATATCAAATTAGCAAAAGCAGTCAGATCATTTGTGAATTTATACTGAAAACATTCAACAGGAGTTCCAGTGCGCGTACCGTGCTTCCATCCTTCCCCAAATGAAATTGTGGTGGGGAAATTTGTTCACAAGACTCCAGCTCATCTTTTGTGTCAGGAAACGTGTCAGGCCCATGTGCTGCAATGTAAATGCAAGCAATCAGTCAGCATGTATTAACCCATGTGGATCCACTGTTACACATTAAGATCCATGTGAGCATCGTAAATGTGGATCAGCAAGATCATTTTTCTTACCTGCATCATGGCAGGGATCTGGGCAGAATAACCAAATGTGTCCGGCAGCCAGAACTCTTTGCAAGTAACACCAAATTCTTTCTGGTAAAATGTCTGTCCGTGAAGGAACTGCCTGACAAAAGATTCTCCGCTGGGGATGTTGCCATCCATCTCCACCCACGTCCCACCCACTGGAAGGAACTTCCCTGCAGTAACTTGCGCTTTCACTCGTTCAAACAGTTCTGGATAATACTGCTTGCACCACGCCCATTGCTGCGCCTAGAAAAAAGATAATGAATCAGAAGGCTCCATCTGCAAGCATTCTAAGTAGGTTGAAAACAACAGATTTAGTATTCGTGCTGGTATGGTGTTAGTACCTGTGAAGCCACGAACAAGTGCTCAGGGTAATCTTCCATGAGCTTCAGCTGCGATGAGAAACTACGTGCAACCTTCCTTTTGGTTTCCGAGTAAGGCCAGAGCCAAGCGGAATCGATGTGGCAGTTCCCAATAACCGCCAAGTGTGCTCTCCCATTGCCCTTCCGGAAGTATTCATCAGCCAAGTCACTGGCTCCGCTGCAGAGAGTAAAAGCTGCTGTGTGATTTATCTTTATATATTTAGTTATTTCATTCGTTTTGCATGCGTCCCTAAGATTACTTCATGGTAAATGAGCGTTGTAAACAATACAAAATTGTGTGTATATCCAGGAGCGAGTAGATGTAAACATGGCGTTCGTAAATCTGTGTATTTATTCAGACATACACAAACAAACACACACATAAATATGCATTTTGTGTACATCATTTGTAGGTCATCCACTTTTTTGCCCGACGACATTTACCTTTCATTCCCCGCAATGATGGAGTTGACCATCTGGTTGGCGGTGTAGAGTGCTTGGTAGCCCCGTTGGTCGGGGATCAGCTCCTGCGCCAACTGGTGAAGGACCTCCAGGTCGCGCGTCAGCTTGTACACCGTCGAGTCCAGCTGGGCGATCTCGGCACGACTCAGCGTGAAGTACATGTTAGGGTCTGGAGGATCTGGAAAGAGAGAATTGTTACCTCCGCATTGTTACATAATGTCACCAACAGAACAGTTTCCTGTGACTAAATACTCACATACGTCTCAGTAATAACCCTTACCTATCTGGTCTCCCGGGCCGGCTCCGAAGAGCTTGTTGGCCGCCATCTCAACGTAGTAGAGCGAGGGGGGCCCCCGCCTCATGGTTGCGTGTGAGCGGGTAGTCGGTGCGACGAGAGATGGCGTCGCC